AAGATAAAAATAATTAAGGCTTTAGATGCTTTCAAAAGAATATTCAAGCCAACTCATATCCAATTATATATATACTATATTGTGTGGTACAAAAGAATCATAATTAGTGTATAGAATAAGAAATTTTATGAATACTATTAGTGGCACTTATCCACTTTGAGTCCTTCCAACCTTAGAAATGATTCCATATAGATTTTGGAGGTGTTTAATTGCAAAAAAAATGAATATCAAAAAAATAATTGTTCTTCATCAGCTCAGCAAAAAATAAATTTTTATAATTTCTTATTACTAATACTTGGTTTGTAACAAATTAAGTGACATAGACTAATGGACTATAATAGAGCATACTGGAGAAAGTCTGAAATTTTCAATTATAAAAAACTACAATATGAATTATACTATCTAAAAACAAAAACTTAGATTAAAGAAGTGAAACTTGGCACAAGAAATTTAGGGAAGAGTATAACATGGAACTATACTCCTCCCTTAAATGTTTACTATATCTGGAACTAGAGCCTTGAGGTAAAGTTCCTTAATGTATCGATATGTACTTTTCTTTTAATCAGCAAAGTGGTGAATATCTTTGTGTTTAAGTAAATAAGTTAAAGCAACACCGTCGTTTTGATGTGAGCTTCGAAGTGTACCACGATGCTGCACGTCGATTCTTTCACTTCTATTATGTTCACAGGGGAAGACTGAAGTAAACCCTAGTTCTGTAGATTCTGATGCCTTACGATGGAGGATCGATGTTCCAGCTGGTAATCGTGGTTTCCAAATGTGACTTGGAAGAAGAAACTGCGAAGAGACCGGGTCTAGAGGGCTAGATCCCGAGAGGATTTTGGGAATGCGGCGAGGGACACCCAATCGGAGCTGTTGCCAGGGTATTCTATCACTGGCTTGGCTCCCTTTGGTAACGAGGACCTGTGGCTGGTAGATTCTGCAATTGTGCTTCGGGGGAAGAGGATCTCCAGCCCCTTCAGAATCGGTGCTCGTACCGAACTGTGCTGGCCGCAGACCATAATTTGGTTTACCACTGTAGCTGCGGATCTCGCTTTTTACAAATACAGCATTTCCGCTAGCCAGCACCCTGCATCATGTAACTCTTGTGAAGCGTTTCATGTCATGTGCTTTGCAGCCTTGACAGGGTCCGGAAACTGTTGGTTCTGGTGGAGGGAATGATGAGACAGAACCAAGCCGATGCGTCCCTTTCTTTTCACTCTCACCCCTGCATCGATCGCTCATCAGGCGCTCCACGACTCGCCTACAAAACTTCACGGCGGCGGAAACTCGGGAAGCAAGCAAGAATATCGTGACGTTACAATCCAAGGGGCAGGGGAGCGCTGGGGCGGCATTTGCAAAGCAAGCAGTTACCCATGACGACAGGGAGGGGTAGCGATGCGCCGCGTGTTTGGAGAGCGTGGAGAGGGAAATCGGTGAGTGGAGTGCCGACTTCATTGCTAAATTCAATCTTCACAATGCACAGGGCAAGCTCTAACTTTTTAACCCTGTTCACCTTTTCCAACCCTAACTTTATTAAGCTTTTCCCTTGCATGTAACGGAACGGAGAGAATACTGAAGTTTGTACCCCGTCCATGATTCTGTACTTTTGTTTGTTGTGCATGAGTGTATTTGTATTCGTATGTATATCAAGAACAATAGGTGCTGGTGTGTGTGTGTATATATATATATATATATATATATGCATAAAATGCTATAATTTGTGTCGTTTGGTAATAAAATACTAATTTGGGTGATTAATTAATTTTCAAGTTCATTAAGATTTCTTAATTCAAATACAAGATGTATTTCTTGTATTTTTCTAATAAATTCGAGTTATTGTTAAAATTACATTGGATTTTTCTTTTATAGGTTCAAGTTGATACAACCAAAAATCTAGAATACAGTCTTTGCCAATTAAAAGACTTGTATTTGGTCTCTTTTTGTGTTTTCCTTTTCTTTTTTCATGAGGTATGTGTCTTCTTTTAATAAGTAAATTCATATACATCTATCTATCTATCTATATATATATATATATATATATATATATATACACTCCTTATGTTGTTGAAAACAAACAAAACATGGTCAATGAACCTCAAAAAGAAACAAATTTCCCCTAATAAATTGTGCTGAACACATGAAATGGCTGATAAATGGATGGAATCTCCAATTATATTCATCTTGCTCAAATCCTGACATTGCCCATCTATCAAACAAAATATAACATACAATGGTTTTTGTTAATCCTAATTATTTCATACTTTGATATAGTTGATATGAATTATAATTTAGTATATTTTCTTTAAAAATGTACACACATATATATATATATATATATACATAATGAAATATTAACCGGGACAAGTCATGTTTACAGAAGATAAAGTGTACTATTTCTTATTCTTTATTAAACACATCAATTTTTTTGAATAAAATTATTTGTATATATATATATATGTATATATATATATATGCACACAAATAATTTAAATTTGGATCTTCCAATCTAATTTTAAATACATCTTATGTTGTCTTATTGAAAAAAATTATTTAAAATATATGTGATAAAATCACAAGCAAATAATATTGCTTCTATTAAAACTTATTAGAGAATATCTTAATGTACATCCAAAGTAATGAGTTCAAATAACTTAATGTATTGATGAATTTAAATTAAACAATAAGTTTGGCAAGGTAGAAAATGGTATTATTTTGAAACAAATTTATTCTTATAGTCATATATGAATAACATTAAACAAATATGAAAAACCTTAAATGAGATAGAAATTAATTTTTCTTATATATATATAATAAAAAATTATTACTTTTTTTGTAACATCGTTAATATTTTATTTATACTTATATTAAATTAAACATAATGCATAACCATATTTATATGCTTAAATTAAAAATTCATATGAAATGAAACAAAATGTTAATATATTATAAAAAATTAGTAATAAGTATCATAAAATAAATAAAAATTGGAATACCTCAATAATCCATTTAATTTAGACTTTCTAATATCAAAATGTAACAAAAATATTGGTTTTTAAAAATAAAAAACAACTTGTAATTTATACACCAATGATTGATGTTTTCATTTTAAGGAGGTGAATGCAAATAAATATTTATATGTACACGAGATGAAAAAAACATGAGAATATATATATATATATATATATATATATATATTTTGACATGCACACATATAAGATGAATCATGTTTAAAACTATAAAAAACAAAAAACAAAGTCTTACTTCTTTCTTTTTCGTTTATTTCTAAATTTTTTCAACATGCATGTTTTTTAAAGTATTTATTACTAAAAACTAATTAAATCACATTAGCTTTATGTTTAGAACCCATTCACATAGTCTATTGACTCCTGTCCCTTTCTCACTTTGCACATTGATTTCCATAATAAATGTATGATTTGGAAACTAGCATAATGCTATCTAAATACATGCACTAGCTAGTAACTCTAAGATGTGTAGTCACTATTTTCATTGCTCAACCAAAAAACATACATGGTTATGAGTCTAAACTGTTACCCACTTCAACTCTACCTGTTGCTCCATGCTTAGTGCTATTGTTCTGTTTTTAAGTCCAAGAATAGCATTCAATTATAGTGGCAATAAAACAATGTTGCATTGGAATTCACAGTTGCAAGCTTGCAACCAACCAACCAACCACATCATCTTTTTGGAACTACATGTGCTTATTTGTTTGTTTGAATGTGAAATCAGACCTCCCTCTTGGAAGATTCAAACCCACTTATAGCATAGGCTTTGCTATCTCACTTATAGCCTCTACATGCTGTCATGTGTGTGCCACAGAACAATTGAAGAGTCAGCATCTGACTTATAAATGAGCTAACACTGTACACTTGTGGAAGGTTCCCATTGGCTCTGTTTAGCTTATTTTATTTTATGTGCCATTTGGCTGTATGGCTCCTTTTTCCTAACTCAGCAGCATCTGAAAAAAATGCATTGGAGTATTGTTCAGTGCCAGGAAGATGCCTCTCTCTCTCTTTCTTTGCTCTTTTTTCCATTTTAAAATTTTCTGAATACTATCATTCTTTCAAATAAATAATGGCACCCAGTTGGTCATTATCTGAAAGTAACAGAACTAGACCAATGACAGTATAGTTCGATCATAAGCAAGTGTGCATGAAAATAACAAGGTCTTTGTGTGTATGCCTTTTTCTGTTACATCTGCACATTTCCATGGCTGATTCACATTGTACATCCATGTTATTCTTCCAGGGCTTACTTGAAGTGTTAAAAACACACAGCCACTGCTCTTTTCTGGTATTGGTTTCCATTAAACCAGTAAGAAAATGAATGATCTGGAATGATTCAATGATGTAGTATTCAATACAATTTTCATGTGATTGAATAAATTACTATTTTTTCAACTTGGTGGGAAGCTCCCCAAGAGTAAAAGTAAAAGTTACAACAACAACTTGCAAGACTAATTTATGGGGAAGAAAATGGAATCCTATAAACCCTAAAACCCCTTTATTTATTTTTATTCATATTGAACTGTACCCCATTCTCGAGAGGTTTGTGTTTTTGCTATGGCGGTTTAGAATTGGAAATACATTTATACATATATGTATATTGTTTCTGACCGTACAAAGGGCGATGAAGAGATAGTACATCATGGATGGAAAAAGAATTGGAAATAGGATCCCCCGACGCGAAACAGCCACTTCAACTGGGGGCCAGTAGTGTAAGCAAAACGGGAGAGGGGGCCACAAGAACAGGACTCGACAAGGGCGAGAAAAAGTTCAAGCGGGCCCGCGCACTTGGAGCCCAGAAGGGCTTTCGAAAATATCACGCGACAAGGACGGGAGGAGCTGTGACAGACACCAGGGTGTGTTGGTGACGTCGTTCTCTCTCCCCCGTCCCCCGTCCCCCGCCTTGCCTGGGCTTGACAGGGTCGGGCTCTCCCCGCCCTCTCCCTTATGTCCCCTGCTCAGCTTACTTCCTCTCCGTCATTCCCACTGTCTCTCAGTCGCGGTGCTAACCATCGCCGATCCCTGCCTGCCTGCCTGCATTGCGTTGGGCGGGATTGGAGGAGGCGGACGTGCTGGTATTGGTGAAAACGACGATTCAGCGCATATCTGTGAGGCATTGCATCTGGTCTTCGGTGGAGAGTATTTGCGTATTCAGTTCTTGATCACTGGAAGAACGCCACTGTGGCATTGTGTGGAGCGTTGGCGGATGAAGTATTCCGCGGAGGTGATTAGAGTTGCAGGAGGTCATTGGTCGTGAGACGGTTTGGTTTCTTTCTTTTTTGTGTTTTTTGTTTTTATCGGTTACATCACCAATGTGATTCAGGTTTGGCTCGTGTTTGGTATTTGAGCAGGTAGTTTTTATTATTGGACTCTGTCTTCGCGGAGCTTCTTTCTCCGACCGGTATGCTTCGGGGTTGTCAGGGGAACCTGATTGTGAGCGCATTGCCATTGTGGACAGTGTGGAGGCTTCAGGTACCGTGAGTTTGTGTGTAGCGACAGCACCAGCGCAGAGGATCCGTGCATGACGAGGTTGTATTGAAGTGATATTCGAAATGGTGTCCTCGGGTGGTGGACTACAGCAGGGTATGTCACTGTCACCCTTGTAGATCCATTTTAAAGTATGCGTAATGCGTCGACTCGCCTCGTTCCTGCACATTCTGAAACTACATTGAATAAACTCCTCCCTCTGCTTGAGTGTCGGGAATAGACCGCCCTCCACGCAGTTAAATGTTTCACGAGTGGAGATTGATAAAAGTGGCTGTATATCAGTCGCCAGTGCATTGATTATCCAGAATACAATGTCTACGCAAGAGTCTAATTCTATTCTGCTGAATAGTATCTCTTTTATAACTTTGATTTGTCTCTTCCTCGATTTTCACATCTGCACATCGACTGCAGATCTGGATGTCTCGAACATCCTCTCTTGCATCCCTCATTTTACAGGCTTCGTCTGGACCTGGCACGACGTCGTAATGTAGCATCAGAGCGCTCTGAAATTGGTTCTCCCGCTGTTGAAATGTGTTTGTCTTCCTCATCGTGCCGTGGTTGTATGTCATGGTTTATGCACCACGAAAGCCGCTGATCTCTGTAAAACCTTGTTGACAGAAGAATAAGTATTCATGAACATCGTGAATAATCCATTTGGTGCTGTTTTTATTTTATCCCGTAATGAATCCATTACCTTATCCCACAGTTAGGAAATCAATTTAGTGTTACTGATGGCGCTGATATCATCCGAATACTTTTCCACCTTAAACTCTGTGTGTAGTATCCTCATCTCGAAATTTTGTGGTTTATAGGTTCTCTTGAAGAAAACATTGACGTTGAGCACCTCGCTAGCATGCCCCTCCTTGGTGACTTTGTCAATGTTATAATTGGATCTGTAAGATCATGGAGCTTTTCAGGCGTTCAAGGGCTCAAGCGTCTGACAAGTAGGAAGCGAGTTTCGGATAGCTTCTCTGTGCAGTGCATGTCAACGGAAGTTCAGAAAAACTCCAATTCCCAGGAAGCCACGGTTGTTCTTGCAGAATCAGTTGTGAAGCCAGTTAGGCGGAGGTCGGTGAAAGAAAGGAAGTCGAAATCCTATCTCCTGACGGAAGTATCTGCGCACACTAGGCCTAACGACTGCTGGATTGTGATTAAGAACAAGGTATTGTTCTAAGGCCTAATTCCAATTGCCACAAACGTACTGAAAGTTCTAAGTCATTATTATGACCCGCTTTCAACCGTGATGGTTTTCAACGTGGTGTTTAGACATGATCGGTACCAATTCAGGGTCGCAGATAGGTGCAAAATCCGAGTAAGAGGGCAACAGATAGCGAATTGCCATGTTTTACTAAACCTATTGTTTGGATGATAGGTGTATGATGTGAGTGACTTCGCTGCTCAACACCCGGGAGGATCCGTTATTACTACATATTTTGGTCGAGATGGTACGGATGCTTTTTCTAGTTTTCACGCTGGCACTACGTGGAAGATCCTCCAAGAATTTTACATCGGTGACGTAGACGTAAGAGTCACCTCGTACACTCTCACTGTTATTCTTCTTTCCTTGAGAAAGGTCCTTCGACCCATGCGTCTGTTTACATCTCAGGGGCCTAAACCTTTGTGTTGGAGCATGCACCGTTTTGACTGAGTTATCTTGAATCTGATAAAGAGGATAGTGTGGAGTATGAGCAACATGTCTATGAGTATATTTTCTTTGTAATTTTGACAGAATGTGGAGCCGACCCCCGAGCTTCTGAAGGATTACAGGGACTTAAGGGCTCTCTTCTTAAGGGAACAACTCTTCAGAAGCTCGAAACTGTACTATGTCTTCAAAACGCTGACGAATATTTCTATTTTTTCTGCAAGCATTGCAATAATCTACTGTTCAAAGTCTTACTGGGCGGTCTTGTCTTCAGCTTGTATGATGGCTTTGTGTTTCCAACAGTGTGGATGGCTATCACATGATTTTCTCCACAATCAGGTTTGAGCCTCTATTAGTACAGCACACTGTTACATACATGTCTTCTGAGATGTAGTGGATTTTTTATTTAGTATCGGATTTTGCTCTGATTCTGAACATGTGTGTAACTCTGAGATTTCAGCACCGTTGACGTGTGAAGTAGAATCCCATCCCGAGGCATAGTTTTTAGTCGAACGACTCGATATTAAGCATGTCAGCTCATATTTTGTGGGGTTCTGTGATTTGAATACTTGCAGGTATTTGAGACGCGGTGGCTTAATGAAGTTGTTGGATATTTAATCGGCAATTCTGTTCTAGGATTTAGTACAGGCTGGTGGAAGGAGAAGCATAATCTCCATCATGCTGCTCCGAACGAGTGTGACCAATTGTACCAACCTATTGATGAAGACATCGACACTCTACCCCTCATTGCCTGGAGCAAGGATATCCTTGCGACTGTTGAAAACAAGACCTTCTTGCGAGTCCTCCAGTACCAGCATTTATTCTTTACGGCTCTTCTGTTCTTCGCTCGAGGTAGTTGGCTATTTTGGAGTTGGAGATATACTTCTACTGCTAAGCTTGCCCCCGCCGTGTGGCTGTTGGAGAAAGGAACGATTCTGTTTCACTATTTTTGGTTCATCGGGGTTGGTTGGTATCTTCTCCCTGGTTGGAAGCCACTTGTATGGATGGTGGTGACCGAGCTTATGTGTGGTATGCTGCTTGGATTTGTATTCGTACTGAGTCACAACGGGATGGAAGTCTATAACAAGTCTAAAGAGTTTGTAAATGCCCAGGTGAGATATACTTCGACTTCGTCCGCTTTAGTTTGCCCTTTATTTTTTTTTTAAAGTGTTCTCTTCATATCAGAGTGTAATGAATCCATCGAAAGGACTTTATCTAAATTTTGACACATTTTTGTAAACTCTGGGGATTCATGCATTCAGTTGATATTGACGAATGACAAGGATTGCTTCTGTACCTAAGTCTACCACAATCCTGTTTCGGGAAAACAGAATTTAGAAGATACTGGTAGAGCTATCCGAAATTATCGTGTGCACGTAATTTTTCTTTGTGAAGAGAACCTTGCAGGCGGTTGGGTAATCGCTGTATTTGCATGTGCAGATTGTAACTACCCGGGATATTAAAGCAAACTTGTTCAACGATTGGTTTACGGGTGGTCTCAACAGACAGATTGAGCATCATCTGTTTCCAACAATGCCCAGACACAATCTGAACAAAATCGCGCCCCAGGTGGAGGCCTTGTGTATAAAGCATGGTCTGGTCTACGAAGATGTGACCATCGCTGCCGGCACTTGCAAGGTTCTGAAAGCACTGAAGGAAGTTGCGGAGGCTGCTGAACATCAATACGCTGCTGCCAGCCAGCAGACTTGAGAAGCCTGGCGCTTAAATTTTGTCCTGTTCGGTAGTTCCTTTTCATGTGTTTTTGAGCAGAAATGCTCTGACATCCATTCTTCTGTAGCTTTATCAAATTTCAATTGAAAGATGGCTGCGCCCAAACACTGGTCTTCAGTAGTACTTTATTCAACAGAGAGGGTTGGGTTTAGAGCGCTTCTATCTAGCATAGTAGTCTCAAACTTCTCTTTGGTTGAAGCGACCTGATTGCTTCAGATTCGAGTCCGTGTGCACATCATTGTCATATCAGTGCAAAGTCTGTCCCTAGCGAACCAGATGCAAATGTGGTCAAAATCTACCATCTGCTCTTTTTAGGAGCATCACGAACACAACTTACAAATTTTAGTTCTCATGAAGGCTCAAGAAATAATGGATTATCTCTCGTTGGCCACTTAATTTGGTGTTCTATCCTGTTCATGAACTTTTCATTCTGTCTTTTCAATTTGGCAATCAACATTGACAGTAGCTCGAAACAATGCACATGCAGATATTAGTCGAGTGCGACAATGATGGGTATTATATCGTAGTACTATGTGAGCAGCTGCTGGTCTCCCAGATTACTTTTCTGCCAACGAAACCCTATACCGAGTCAATTTTTGACCACTTATTAGGTAGTCCCACAGTAATAGTTGACACATATGTGCACGACTAATGCTGGCCCAGTCGTGTGCGCTCTTTAAGCTACATCTATTCCTGGAGAACGAGAAATCCACTGTGGCAGCGATTGTCGATGTACTACAATCGTGTGCAATGCTGTTTTTACAGGCTTGGAGATGAAAGGACTTCCCCCTCCTATTCTGCTTCTACAGAGTTTATTTTTTTAATTTTAATTTTATTTCCTTTATTATTTGACACAAATAACGATATTCTTTAATGCGGAGTGACTTCTACAGAGATTAAGTAGTGTGGAACCGTTGCATGCCAATTATCCAAGTTAAGGATCTGGTTTTTGGACATAAGTTTTGGTTTTCTGCAAATGAAAATTTAGGAATGGGTAAAATTACAAATGTTCTTCTTGATGTTTTTCAATTTCAATTTTATAAACTTTAAATTAGCCTGCATGTACTGGGTGACTAATAAGTATAATTTTTCTTTGGTTTTGTCTTATAATTTAATAAATTAGTCTGAAATATTAAAATATTTCATACTAAGTCAATAATGAATAAAATTCAAAATAAAATTCAATTATTAATATTGAAAAAATTCTCTAAAAGAGCATGAGAATATTAATTAGTTGGGTAACATTGTTTGTTTATATGTATAGAAACCTACTACAATGCATATTTGTAACAACAGCTTTATTCACTTAATTAATTTAATGTATGCAATATACTTTAAAGTTGGTGTATTCTTTCCAATCTTGCAATAAATTATTTTAATGTTTTTTAATTTTTTTCTTTTTTCTTTCAACTTTCTTCATATTAATATAATAGCTTTTTATAGTTACTAGAAAACTACAAAGAAATTCTAATTCTATTTCTAATTTTGTTTCTATTCTAAATGCATTATATTTTTTCAATTGATTTATATATCATATTGTACATTAGTTTTTTACTTTATACAACAATTCTTTGGTTGCTTTTAATTTTTTTTAGAATTATTATTATTATTATTATTATTATTATTATTATTATTATTATTAATTTTCTCTTGTGCTATGCTTTTCTTTAAATTTTATTATTTTATATTCTATTAAGTATTTTTTATTAGCATAGTTCAAGTTTTTGCTTGTATTATATTATTATTATTATTTAGTTTGTTATTGAGACCACTTCAATGGTTTATTATATTTTTTTAATTTAAAATAATTAAATCCATATAGATTTTATCATTTAAGTTAATCTATATTTTTAATTTTTTTATAATTAGTATTTTTTTTGAATATATATATAGTATTTTTTTTTGAATATATGTATATTATTTTTTTTGTTATGGAAATATTTTTTCCTTCACTATTATGTCAAAGTACAGAGGTAATGTATATAGGCTATGCTACATATAAAAAGGCTAAATATAATTTATAATTAATTTTTTCTACTTGTTATTTAAAAAAAATTGTAATATTTTTTTAACATTTATATATAAAAAAATAATGATTTTGAAGTATTATTAGAAGTATCTTTTATTTGTAGATATTACATTAAATAAATAGATAACTTGTTATAAACCTTAAAAAATATTAAGTTTTTTGATTAGTTCCATAAATTTATATTACATATTTACATACTTTGCTTCTAGCAAAGTAAAATGATTTAATTGAGATCTAATAATTGATAGGTTTCAATTTAATTAATACTATTCAAATATTGGTAGTTTTCTGTTTGTTACTAAAGATCCATATATATTTTATGTGTCACAATTTTTATATGCCAATTGTACTTAAGCTTAAAATATTTTGTATATAAGCTATTTATTTAATGGAATCAAATGTAGTAATATTTTTATTTTTTATAAAATTTAAATTGGATATTGTTCTCGTTGTGTTCAAGCTTCAATATACCAAAGCAATTGAACTAATAGAGGTGGGTTCGAATACGGGTAAAGACTGGTTATATGAATTGGATTTATTAGTGTCACAATTGACTGTACTCTGGCTATCTGAAATCAATTATCAAACTACAAAATACCAAGGTTTACTACTTCCGTTTTAATTCAACACTTAATTCATTCTACGACTATCAATTCAATAATACTTCCATATTCTTATCAATTCATCTCCCACTTACTCTCTTTGCAGTTTATATATATTCAATTACTGATCTCCAACTTACCTATTGTATTCAGTTTCTCAATTCATCACACAAAATTCAATATCTCGACTTATGACTCTAACAATCTCGCATTCCAAACTAACTTCTCAGTATTTAGAAACTATCTATTACTCGTCAATAATAAAGAAACAAAAAGAGGTAGCACCAAGCTTGCCCCGACTTATGACTATCACAGTCTGGCCCCCATCTCTCTTTACTCAATCTCTTTATCCTACCAAAAAGATGATCTGTCGGCCAGCAGATTCCAAAGGTTATGACCCTTTGAATTCTTAACCATTTATTCTACTAACAACCTACTGTCACGGACATACATATAATTACCTATATGAATAGATAAAAGTATGTAAAAGTAGATAAAAGTAGGTTAATTGTGTAATATCTTCTAGAGGAGCTTCTTAGAAGCTTCATAGACGCTGCTTTGACTTTATAGGAGTCTATAGTTGACTTTTAGGTTAGAAACTTGGTCAACAAGTTAGCCATGTACCACACATGTTGGAAGCTTAAAGAACAAGCTAACTACGTGGTCCATCCATAGAAAACTTGCCTTGCAAGCAAAGACATGTGGCCTAGAAAGTCAACATATATTGGAGGTCTTATAGAACATCGCCACGTGGCTTCTAGTTAGATAGTATATATAGAGGCAAGAGTGAAGCCCTCTTGACTCTTGTCAACTCCTTTCTTGCTTCTAGTCTAGTTTCAAGGGTCTCTAGTTTTCTTGTATTTTGGCAATAGCCATTCCAGTTTCTTTCTTAATATACATATTTCTATTTTGTCCTATTTCTTTTTGAAAAAAGTCTCACTTACTCTTTAGCTTTCATCGAGTTCTTGTCCTTGACAGATTGACAAGAGTACACTTACAATATCAGAGCTTTGTCTTTTCTTGATTAAGAGTGGATTACCCCTTTTTCTTGATAAGACATAAGCGCATTAGAAGTTGCGGATTACCCTCTTTTAAACTGATATTGTTCTTAGTATTTTCTTTGTTATCAATTCCTCTCTTCTATTTGTTTTGAGCGTTATTAGACATCTTCTCTTTTCTAAGTGCTACTATGGCAGAGCTTGTTGAAATGAAGAGTGCAATGGCACAGATGCAAGAACAATTGAGGGAGTTAATGCTTGCAATGCATCAACTCAATTTACCACCACAAGGAGCAACAAGAATGGTAGGAAGTGAAGATATAGAGATGATTGGGGCTGCTTCAACATCTGCACCAAACCATGTCCCTTCTCCCAGAATGGAACACCCTTCGAGTGTTAGAGAACCGAGAGTGGCCTTGCCCGAGAAGTTTGATGGTACCAGATCCAAGTTTCGAGGATTCATCAATCAGGTCCAATTAGTGATTGAACTTCAACCCCAGAGCTATCCAACTCCAGGGTCACAAGTTAGATTCATTGGTACACTTCTTTCAGGTTCAGCATTGTCATGGTTTTCATCTTTTCTTGAACGACGAGATCCAATATTGGATAATCTGGAGGCTTTTTTGGCGGAGTTTCGATCCATGTTTGGAGAACATGATGCAATTTGTGTTGCAACCAACAAGATCCGTATTTTGCGACAAGGCAATCGATCAGTAACATTATATGCTTCGCAATTTCGACAACTTGCAACTGATATCAAGTGGGATAATGCCGCACTTGTGAGTCAATTTCTCTACGGATTACAATATGAGGTAAAGAAATTGATGCTTAATTTACCTGATCCTCAAACATTGAGTCAAGCAATTGACTTTGCTGTGAAGTGCGACAATCGACTTTTTGAATTTCGATCCGAGAGTCGCACAAGTGGGCCTCAACGTTACTACAATTCAATGGCAACACCGACGTCTCCTCAACACATACCTTCGGAAGTAGAGGATATGCAAATTGATGCGGTACGTTTCAAACCTCTTACTGAGCAAGAAAAGTCTCGTCGTCGACAAGAAGGATTGTGCTTATATTGTGGAGAACCTAAGCACACTGCTCAACATTGTCCAAAGAAGCGACGTAACTACAAAATGAGGAGTACGGCTGTCAAAGAAGACAGTATGTCGGAAAACGAGTACGTCCAGCTACAATAGGGACCGTGCGGCTGGAATCTTGTACAACTTCTAATGAAGGTCCTATCCTCTCCTCAGAACCATCTCCTTGTTTTATAATAGATGTGCGTTTAGGACCTAATAATTACAAAGCCTCTGCCTTGATAGATTCAGGAGCCTCAGCTTGTTTTTTAGATGAAGAATTTGCTAGATGTCATAGAATATCATTAATACAAAAAACTAAACCTGTACACGTAGAAGTCATAGATGGTCGTCCGTTGTCTTCTGGAGATGTAACTCATGAAACACTTCCTGTAGATGTAGTAATAAATGGTCATAGTAGTTGCGTAATTTTTAATATATTTAGATCTCCCTCTAATCTAATAATTTTAGGCTTATCATGGTTAGAAAAGTATAATCCTCGAATAGATTGGATTTCTCGTAAACTTAATTTTCCTCGGAGCATTAGTAACAGTTCTATTAATCAAGTAAAAAACCATGAGTCTAGTATAGTAAAACCCGCACTTATAGGTGCAAAAGCATTTATACACGCAGCAAAAGAAGGATCAACTTTTGCTATTTATGCTGCACCTATTTCTGAAAGCGTAAA